CCCCCCCCCACGCCAAAACAATGCTTATTCAGATCCTCCAGGTGCCTCATCTTTTGCGCTGTTGGTTGTCTGGCGGCCTGATGCAACTGATAGGACTCCTCCCTGTTCAGTCGTTGTCCGCGGGGGATCCAGTTAACATCAGCACTTAGGTGGTTTCATCTAGCTCTGCGTTTGTGGTGGAAGCCACCAGGTGGGGGTGGGGATGGGGGGGTTCATCAACCCCTTGGTCTTTGTGTCTTTATTTTATTCTATTTATTCTAAGTCGTGGCTCGAGGACTTTTTTTTTTTTCGTGCCGGAATGTTCCGGAATCTTAATCCTCATGAATAAGCAGGTTCCCCACATCGTCTCATGGGGGGTGGCCTTCCACTCCACAACAGCAGATCTGCCCGCAGGGCAGCTCGCCGAGCGATTCGGCCGTCAGGGAAGGGACCGCCTCTGTCAGGACGACCGGCCACAGAGAGCTGCCGCTTCACGGTGCGTGCGAGCAGACACGGGAGCAGGTGCAGGAACACGCAGAATGTGCGCGTTCGCTGGGAGCGGACGCCTAATTGCTCTGTGATTTATCGCCGTAATTAGCGCCGGGTGACCCGTGCTTCCCGGTGTCGTGGGTCTTCTGGAGCGATGTCACCGGGAGACTCCGGGGAGTCCCGTAAATGCAGCCAGTCGGTTTGTGGCATCGGCAGCGCGGGGGGGGGCATTTAGCTGCCTTCTCCTTGTCTTTTGGGTGGTACAGGGAGAAGGAATGCGGTCCGGGTCCCTTTCGAGTTGCAGCATGCCTGCGATCCCCACCTTCCGACAAACCGAATGGAGCTCGAGGCGCTCGCTGCATCGCCCTTGAAGGTCCGACCGCGGCCCCTGACGGGCGCCTCCGCGGCGGGTCTGAGGGGATTACGGCCCTGGTTCTGCTGCCTGTATCTGTTTAATAGCACCATATATAAGTGAATCGATGTCCCCGCGCCCATAACCTCTGGGTCTTCTTTTTGTGGGGTAATAGTGCTGCACGCGTGCGTGTGGGGGGAGCAGCGGCGGCGGCGGCTTGCCATCGCTCATCCCCGTTATCGGGGACGGAGGCACAGCGGGTCGATGTTGTAAACTCGCCGACAAGTCTTGCGTTAAAAATGATCCTACATCAGCCGGAGATTGATGCCTGCTGTTTCATGGTTACCACGGAGGCGTTGGGGGGGGGGGTTGGCCTTTACTGGATGTGACTGAAAGGGAATAGAATGACCCCCC